CTGTTGTACCCAATTTACTTCATTCCACCAATTGAAAATAACCGGTATGTGCTTACTTTGAAAAGGCGGCGAATGACCCCATCCAGGACGTCCCACTTTGTTTTCCCACTTACACCTATGGACCCAATCAGATAGTCCTGGCTTTTCTTGCCCTAAAGAGAGGTCAGATTTTTAAAATCAGGAGTCAGTATATGTAAGAAGACAATCTGGTGCTTTTAGCTGGATGAGTTGTCTCCACAGACCTTGGTGACATTCGGTCCAGTAGTGATGCTGACCACTATTCGCACGCTCCGACCTTCTTTACGTAAATTTCCCTCGTAGCTGTCATCCAGCAAAATATCTGAAAGAAAGACCAACGGTGAACAAACACAAGCATGGATGGAAACATGCCAACAGAAATGTCTTGAAATGGGTTTGTTTGAGATTTTTCTAGATGATGACGTAGAAGATGAAGGATAAGTTCATATATGTATCCAGGAAAGCACACCTTGAGATCAAATGTTTTAACCACTGAGTTGAAATCAAAAGACACATGAGACCCCTGAATCAAATCTAATTAGATCTCAATTCAGAGGGAAGGGCATACTTTGCATTCGGCTGGCTTCCCTTAGCTCTGCACTGGGGTGATAAAAGCCCCATAGCCCACTCGTCGTCTCATGCTTCACTGCTCTTGGCTGATCGCAACATTAATTAACAAGGGCCTAGATGCTTGGAGGGAGCTGGGGCTTCTATGTTAATTACAGTACAAGTGAGAGTAGCAAATACTCGCAAGGACCAGGCCTGGAGAAGCTTTCAGTCTGTTCGTGCTCATGTGAACATGACTATGTCTGTTTCTTTTGTGAATGCTCAGCTTAAGGAGCTATATACCAGAAGCTAGAGCATTCCTTCAAGTAGTTCCTTTAGATCACGCTTCGGTACATTTTCGGAATGAAGAGATCGACTTCAAGGTAAATCTGCAGATCAGAGCTTTTACCCTGTCTCTTTTAGTTGAGACATCAACTAAGCAGAGAGAGCATAGAGCAGACAATACCTTAAGTTGAAGTACGCTTTTTTTCAAAGTACAAGTTTAGGTACAGAGACTGAACCGACCTGACATGATGGTGTCTGTGATGTTGAGGTTATTGAGGGATAGCCCTAAGGATTGACGGGAGGAGGATGAGGAGGTGCTGGAGGTCTCAGACGGTGGTCTGGCTGTCTTGATGGGAGTGGCTGTTGGGGTGGCGTTGCCGCTCGACTTGAGACGATCGTTTTCCGCTTTCAGTGTCTCAATCTCGTTCTGTGTATTGAGAAAATCAAGACATTTCATGCAAAATCTAATGGGAAGTATTTTAATGACAGTGTCTTGCTTCTTTATCACTAGACTTCATTCTAATACATTCAGACTGGATACTGAATCTGTATTGTTGGAATTATGGTCTGTTAGAAGCTTTTTGATCTGCAAGGCTGCCTTTGCATTGAAAGTGAAGTCTCAGATAAGAAGTCTCAGATAATTTACATGATTCCTACATCCGAGAGAAGAATCCATTTTAGTGAGACGTTCATAGTAAGATGAGATGTCTATATATTTTTAATATTAATCAGCATTTCTGATGCCATAGTTTCAAAGTGACAGGGGCAACATTACAGGTTAATAGGCAACAAAAAGCAAAAGCATGGTTTGTCAGCTAACATTAATTTTCTAAAGTTAACCTTAGGTAGAAATACAAAGGGAAGAAACTGAATTCTGGAGCGATAAATGTTTCTACTGCAAATCTGAACAGCTCGTTTCATGACACATTTTAAGAAAAAAGAGTTTTTGAGTTGGCAGTTATTTCCAACCAAGAAATAAGCTTTAAAATATATTTTTTTCTTCTCATGTCTCATTTAATTACTTTAACTGTGTTAATTTAAATTTTCTTAATAAACTACAATACCTGTTTAGTTTATTTTCTATGATTTTGGCTCACCTGCATGCGGTTCATGGCTTCCCGGATCTGGTCCAGGTGGTGGGCAGAGCTTAGTGCCTCCAGGCGGATGTCTGTCAGCTTTAGCTCCTTCTCTCTAAGCTCATTTTTCAGCTGGAGGATGATTTCTGCCTCGGCCTCGGTGCATTCACATAGCCTGCAACCAGGATTACACACAGGGAGGAGGAGGGGGTCACCTTCGGGTTATGCACGACACACACACATTTGATGTGGAGCGCACACACTGAAAGGGACCGGGGCGGTTGAGTTAGGAAGAGGCTGGAGTCATTGGAGGAGTCTGTGAGTGAGATGAGTGGGGAAGTGTTGCATTTGGTTCAGCAAATCTCTCCCATGGATGCATTCTTTTACTCAAACGACCTAAAAGTAATGGACTCGGTCGCAGTTCCTGTTGGGAGTAGTTTGCAACCTTCATTTTTGGAAAATTGTGTGTTGTGCGATTAATCTTTAGTTTAACAGCAACAAGGTTTGCAAAGGTTTAACTAGCATTCACTATAACCGCATTCCATATAGGGATATTATATGCCGTCAGTACAAAATCTGTCAATTTACATTTTATACTCTAAAATATTAACATATTTTAAAAATATAAAGAAGTTATTCCTGCTTGGGTTTATTCATTGTTTGAAATAAAAATTATTTTATATAGCTAAGAGAACTTAAATTCCTACGAACGGCACAGCAGATGTGCAGAGTAGTTGCATGCTTCTAAAATAGCTGTGTATCTACCATCTAGTAGTGATATACAGTGGGGCAAAAAAGTATTTAGTCAGCCACCAATTGTGCAAGTTCTCCCACTTAAAAAGATGACAGATGCCTGTCATTTTCATCATAAGTCAACCTCAACTATGAGAGACAAAATGAGGAAAAAAAATCCAGAAGATCATATTGTCTGATTTTTTAAGAATTTATTTGCAAATTATGGTGGAAAATAAGTATTTGGTCAAAAACAAAAGTCCATATCAATACTTTGTTATATACCCTTTGTTGGCAATGACAGAGGTCAAACGTATTCTATAAGTCTTCACCAGGTTCTCACACACAGTTGCTGGTATTTTGGCCCATTCTTCCATGCAGATCTCTTCTAGAGCAGTGATGTTTTGGGGCTGTCATTGGGCAACACGGAATTTCAACTCCCTCCAAACATTTTCTATGGGGTTTAGATCTGGAGACTGGCTAGGCCACTCCAGGATCTTGAAATGCTTTTTACGAAGCCACTCCTTTGTTGCCCGGGCAGTGTGTTTGGGATCATTGTCATGCTGAAAGACCCAGCCACGTTTCATCTTCAGTGCCCTTGCTGATGGAAGGAGGTTTTCACTCAAAATATCACGATACATGGCCCCATTCATTCTCTCCTTCACACGGATCAATCGTCCTGGTCCCTTTGCAGAAAAACAGCACCAAAGCATGATGTTTCCACCCCCATGCTTCACAGTAGGTATGGTGTTCTTTGGATGCAACTCCGCATTCTTCTTCCTCCAAACACGACGAGTTGCGGTTTTACCAAAAAGTTCTACTTTGGGTTCATCTGACCATAGGACATTCTCCCAATCCTCCTCTGGATCATCCAAATGTTCTCTAGCAAACTTCTGACGGGCCTGGAGATGGACTGGTTTAAGCAGGGGGACACGTCTGGCACTGCAGGATTTGAGTCCCTGTCGGCGTAGTGTGTTACTGATGGTAGGCTTTGTTACCTTGGTCCCAGCTCTCAGCAGGTCATTCACTAGGTCCCCCCGTGTGGTTCTGGGATTCTTGCTCACCGTTCTTGTGATCATTTTGACCCCACGGGGTGAGATCTTGCGTGGAGCCCCAGATCGAGGGAGATTATCAGTGGTCTTGTAGGTCTTCCATTTTCTAATAATTGCTCCCACAGTTGATTTCTTCACACCTAACTGCTTACTGATTAGAGATTCAGTCTTCCCAGCCCGGTGCAGGCCTCCAACTTTGTTTCTGGTGTCCTTCGACAGCTCTTTGGTCTTGGCCATAGTGGAGTTTGGAGTGTGACTGTTAAAGTTTGTGGAAAGGGGTCTTTTATACTGATAACGAGTTAAAAAAGGTGCCATTAATACAGGTAACGAATGGAGGACAGAGGAGCCTCTTAAAGAAGAAGTTACAGGTCTATGAGAGCCAGAAATCTTGCTTGTTTGTAGGTGACCAAATACTTATTTTCCACCATAATTTGCAAATAAATTCTTAAAAAATCAGACAATATGATCTTCTGGAATTTTTTTCCTCATTGTGTCTCTCATAGTTGATTTTGACTTATGATGAAAATGACAGGCATCTGTCATCTTTTTAAGGGGGAGAACTTGCACAATTGGTGGCTGACTAAATGCTTTTTTGCCCCACTGTATGTGCAGGCGTACACCTCTGCTCAACCCTTCTCCACTGAGAGACAGGCACTTTACAGCTCCTTTTAGTTTATTTATCAGAGAGCCATCGAGGTGGTGAGACGTTTTACAGCGCTGAGATGCCAACGAAAGTCACACAGACACAAACCACCGCACACACACTCCCGGGGAGCATGCCACACAGCGCCAGTGTTACCGAGATCTGTGTTTGTAGACCACATGGCCGTTTAGCTTTTTCTTTGGTGTCCAAATGGGGGAGGACTTGCTATCACAAACGCACTTGCTACAACAGGTGGAGAAACATTCAGATAAAAATGAACATGACGGTAAGAGGGAAGAACAAAGTGAGGATTAAAAGACATTTGTTAAAAGAAAAGAAAAGGAAAACAAACAAAAAAAACAAGAGAAAAGCTGGCTAGCCTGTAGCTATAGCAGTGTGTTCTGTATGTACACAGAAGACATCATTCAGGGGAATATGTTTGCACACATGTGTGGTAGAATGCAGATGTGAAGCAGAGGGGAAAGCAGAACTTACTCAGTGGTGGAGGGTGAAGACCGCAGCGTGGCAATGCTGCCTTGTCTGTTGTCATGCTGCAGTTTGGGGGAGGATGGAAGGGAGTCAGTCATCTCCTCCATCTCATCAGGGGCTGACTGGGACTTTGTTTTCTTCTTGCTGAAGGCATGTTTGAAAGAGCTGCGTAACTGCAACACACACAGAATACACACAGACACATGTCGTTGATTTTTGCATAATCCTGGATACAATCTTGTCAGATTAGGAAGTCACTCCGTGCTGTTTCCAAGCAATAGCCACTTTCTGTTTTAGGTAAAAAGGCAAAAAGCAAGGCCGTAAGTACAGATGAGAATGAGAAATGTGGGAGGCAAGCTTTTTTATATCCCTAAAAAGTAGAAAAGAACAGGCATTCAAAAGAATAAGAAAGGCAAAGGGAGGGGTTAAATAAGAGGTAAAGGTAGGGTTGCTGTATCCATGGCGGCGTTCCCAGAAAAGGGAGAAAAAGGAGGGGTAGAAGTCAGACCGAACGAAGTGGAGGTGTGAGATGAGGAGCACACACATACTGAAGACAGACTGGAAACCACTGACCTGAGCTGGGATGGAATCAGCCACCTGAAGATGTAGAACACACCCAGCGTTAAGCCACACAAACACTCGCTCATACTCCCTTCACACCGATCCAAAGTAGTTCAGAGGAAATAAAGCTTCTGCTGTTTTAAGACGGTGACTGAAGCTGTGAGTTATTGTAAAGTCATGCTGGACTCCCAGGAAGGTGAGGGTTTCTACAAAGCATGATCAGTCCGCTGGGTTCCCACTTTTTGTGTTAGTATAACACTACATAAAACAGAAAATTATCCATCCAAAATGAGAGGAAATATTGGATTAAGATTCATGTATTTCTAGCAGCATGGAAGGAACATAAGAAAGCACAAGAATAGAAAAAACATTACAGCATATAACAGTGCCATGCTCACGGACAGGTTTAAATGGAAAATGGAAAAAAACAGTTTTTAAGCTAAAGCCTTTTTCAGTAATTGTATATATTGAAAAAAGGTTTAGCTGTACAAATCCTAGATTCTTTGTCTGATCAGATGTGTACCAAACTGGTCACTAGGCATGGATTGTATAAATGCATTTTAATGACGATGTAAAAAAAAAAGAAGAAAATCTTGAAACCTTTTGTGCCTTTTAAACACAGATATAACAAACCGTTGTTATGCACTGGTTTCAAATGTGAAAATCCAGAGACAAAACATCACAGAGCATGCCAATCTAACCTACAACACTGTCGTCAATCAACTGGTTCCATGATGCTGGCTTGATATGTGTGTGTAGACACACACGGAGGCTTAATTTCGAGGGTAGGCGTTCTGAATTGCGGCAGAGACTAAAACTGGCTGTTGGTGCTCTCTGGCTGAGGCAGAACTCTGTATATGTCATCTGTCTCAGGGGGCTGCAGCAAATTACAGTGTTTATCCAGAGATGAACAGAGAACAGCATAACCAGAGCGAAGGCCAGACAGAGGGATAGGGCTTTAAGACTGCCGATGCCTGTTGGTTAAATCTTCAAGGATTTGTGAACAGAAATGGTTTACAACAGAGAGCAAAATGGTAGTTATGATATTAATTCCTAATTAGGGTTTTAAAAAAAAAAAAAAAGTGTAAGAGCAAAGACAAATCCTGCTGTACAACACCAAGCATGTCGCATTAGAATGCCGAGACCTTAAGAACCCTTTTAAAAAAACATAAATTACGATTTGTTAAACATTTGTTAAACAATTTGAGAAGAAATCATTATTTTGCCTTGGAACCATATTAAACTAATTCAGTACCCTAAAATGGAAATAAAGAGATAGAAATCTTTACATTTTCTGATGGATTTGATCTAATTTCATGAAAAGCAAATAGGCTGGCACCACAGCTACTTAACTGAGAACATAAACATGGGCTGACCTGTCCATATCATACAACTAAAATAAATCCTCTTCAAATTAATCCTCTTTGTCCACTTACCCAGTTCTTTTTCTTCTTTTTTTTATCCTCTGCATCCTTGCCCATGCTGCCCATACTGGAGTGACTGGCGGCACTGTTAATGCTGGACATACTTTCTGACGAGTGCTGCCGTCGGATCCGCAGGTCTGGACAAGACAAAGACTTCCTTAGAGTGTGAAACTGGATGCTTAGTAGAATTTTCAATACTGACTGAGCTTGGTCTGAGCAAATGTCTCTAAGGAAGCTTGACCCATGTTCTGATCTTTATGTACAGGTGCAGTTATACAAAGACTGTTCAGTGCATATCTATGCAGTTCAGTTCACTTATGTGAAAGGCCAGCTAGGATATCAATAAACCCAGTTTTCAAAAAGAGATGCTTTTGAAAATTCTCCCCAGTGAATTTGTCAATACCTTTGTGGAGGTGGTCCGGACCGTTGAGGGCCACCTGGATGGCTGTTTGGGCATCTGTGTTCTGAGTCTTCAGCGTCTCAATGGTTTCTCTCAACTCAGCCAACTCAGACTCCTGCAGTCAGTAAAAGAAAAGTGAGAAGAAAGCAGGAACTGCTTTTGTGGGCATGAAACACTTTATCTTCACCTTTTGTAAAGGTGAATCAATTCAGCAGAGGAATGGTGGAACGCAACCTTTGAAGACCAAATAAAAGCGATCGACAAAAAAATATGACCAGACTGCTTTGTTTGTTTATATCTAAGGATAAATCACCGAAGACTTTTGGAAGGCAAAGCCACAACAATGTGAACAAATTCTGAAAACTTGGCATCGACACAGCTTTCTTTGGAAATGAATAAAAGAAAAAAAGCAGTTGAAGGTATTCAGGAAAAGAATAGATTTGTTCCTCAGCCAGCACCACCTGCTTAGAATAAAAAAGCTCCTCTCTGTTGGACTATGTCGATAAGACAGAGGGAGTCTCCCACTCTTCTTCCTCCAAAACCCACGGAGGGCTGCAGATAGGGTTTCAGCTTTAATTAAAAGTTAGAATGGCCCTGTTTGACTAGGGCATCCCTCCAGATCCCACTCTGCTTTAATTTATAGAGGATTAAAAAGCTTCTGTGTATGCATGTGGGAGGAGAGGGTTCATTCATGATTTGAGATAGTGTGTTGGTGCTTCTTTAAACCATCCAGGTA